TTGCTACGCATAGTTGTGCCGCGTGGTTTGGCCTGCAGCGGCGCGGAACGCATTCGCGGCGAGCGGTAACGTGCTCAAACCGCACGCTTTGCGCGTGGTTCAGCGATCGAGCCGTTCTCGCGCTCTGCATCGATTCCTGTGCTTGTGCTTCGCGTACGTCGGGCCACAAGGGTTTGGAAGCTGCTGTGAGCAGCTGACGCTATACCTTTGCCGTGCTCGTTCGTGCCGTGCACTCGTTTCCTGCCTCGTCGAGGAGCAGCTCGAGCACCGCCAAGCTCATCAACGTCGTCGTGCGGGACCCCATCAAGCTGTCCGGCGCGTCCGTGGGGTCGCCCGGGGGGGCGGTGCCGAAGGGCTACGGCAGCGGCCAGCCCTACGGCCGGCCCGGGCCCGACGACCATCCGCGACCACCGCGCGGCCGCGGCCGGCGACGACGACTTCGAGCACGAAACTCATACCACCCGCCCCACGCGCCTTCCGCATGCCTCCGGGGGGTTTAGGGAGCGTCGACGCGCCTCGGCGGGGCGTTAACCCACGCGTAAAGCGGGGTCGGGAATCTCGCCGATTATGGCCTGACTGGGCCTGCGACGACCGTAGAACAAACTAGAACGGTTCTAGTTCCAGTATACGGCTCCGGGCGCCCGGAGTTTCTAGCCACGATGCGAGACACAGTTACCGCGTCCGGCCTATCTGGAGAGGCCTCGGGGTGCGCGGGGGTGGTCGACACAACAGGGGGGGCGAGGGGGGCACAGGTAGGGGCGCATACAACACCGGATTGTCCTGGAGCCCCGGCCCGGCGGGGGAACTTGGGTTCTTTACTAGGCGGCTGTGATTATTCGTCTTGTTGTTGGTCGATGCTCCTAACTTACCACCCCGAGTCCTTCGGCGGCGTTTTCAGGCGGCTTTGCCTGTTGCGGACATGACAGGGTCCGGGGTGGGACTGGGCTTGGACCCAGCTGCACAATGAATACGATGGGCATGGCACAGGGGGGGTCCCCATCCCCACCAAACCTTCGCGACATAAAACCCAGACACCGAACATGCCACTTTTGGGCAAAGTGGGCGCAATTCGGTGCCAACTCGGCATTATGCACTAGCCGCACGCACAATTTTCAACAAAAATATCCTCATAAGACCGTTCATCATGTCGCCACCTGTCCTGGCACATCATGATGTTTGATGTGAGGCAGTTGAAGGCAGTATCCACGCCTTCGCCTGGGCAGATAGGGTCTGGAATAAATGCACAGAACATCAATGCACAGTGCAGACCTGTTTTAGCAGAAGTCAGAAACCAAGCTACAAAACCATTGTTGACACAAAATAGATCTATGGCATTCTTATCAAGATTTGGTGTCTGATCGCATTTCGTTGCAACAAGGACCACGGGGAGGACATCACCACTGCGGAAAGTAACATCAGAGTCGAACTCAGCTTTCCGCCTGCTCACACGCCTAAAGAAGCCTGTTTTGAATTTTATGTCTATCCAGGGCTGTTTCCCACCGGAGTGCTTCGTCGCTAAATGGATCGAAACACATAATTGCTCCGTTCGCTTTCTGACAGCATGTGCTCTGATGGTATCCGCAATTATCGCCTGGATTCGCCTGAAAAAAAATTGGAACACAACCTGTGACATGGTATTGACGTACCGTATCTTCATCATCAGCAATTTGAAGTATGACGGACAGATTGCCCATCTCTTCAATCGTCGCGAGCTATAATTATACATGGCTAGATCTCTTGTTAAAAATTTCAACACACCTTTAGCAAATGCTCGAGCCCAAGACGCTTCTTTGATGGCTTACTTTTATGATTTCCTTTCGGGAAGTAATTGTTCACATATCGACGAACGAGACAGGTTTTCCCCGATCCGACGTCACCAGTCACAACGATGCTCACCGTCGGCCGTTTGGAGCTGACATCGGTCATCTATTATACAAAAAGACGCCGCGGCGTCACCGGATACGTGCCTTTTTGACAGGTGTGGAGGAATTGCTGTAGCTAGTGGCCAGCTCGCTGCTCCC